CATACTTTACTTTTTATGATTTTCAACCTGAACTTTAATATCTCTTTATATGCTGTCCTTATGAACATTTCACTGTGATGTCTGAGAAAGTTTCAGTAGAATGACAGCTGCCAATCACTGAGATTATTTCCATCCTATTTTCTGGAGGAGAAATGAAACAGCCTTTGGATATTAAATTATTTTATCTATCTTTATGGAGACTCTGTTACCCAGAGTAAAGTGCACTTGGTGTAATTGTAGCCCACTGCACTCTCTAATTCACAGACTCCAGCTATCTTGTCCCCTCCATCTCCCAGATAGCTGGGACTACAGATATACCATATTTGGTGCAGCTGGTTTTTCTTGTTGCTTTTTTGTTTTTTTGAGACAGTGTCTCACTGTATGACCCTGGGGAGAATGCTGAGGACATCATTGCTCACAACCTCAAATTTAAGGCTCAAGTGATTTTTTATTTTTTTTTTTTTGTAGAGACAGAGTTTCACTTTATCACCCTCAGTAGAGTGCCATGGCATCACACAGCTCACAGCAACCTCCAACTCCTGGGCTTAGGCGATTCCCTTGCCTCAGCCTCCCAAGTAGCTGGGACTACAGGCGTGATTTTTATTTTTATTTTTTGAGACAGAGTCTCAAGCTGGGGCCCTGGGTAGAGTGCTGTGGCATCAGAGCTCACAGCAACCTCAAACTCTTGGGCTTAAGTGATTCTTTGGCCTCAGCCTCCCAAGTAACTGGGACTACAGGCACCCACCACAACGCCTGGATATTTTTTTGTTGCAGCTGTCGTTGTTTAGCAGGCTGGTGCTGGGTTTGCACTTGCAATCCCAGAAGCAGATCGCGTGGGGCAAAGACTTCTCCCTAGTGAGATTAAACTTGCATTTTTCTCAGGAGTCGTTCTGGCCCCCCAAATCCCCATACCATCCCCTCCACCGCAGGTAAACCCAGATCTCACAGTGTGCACCTGGGAGTGCTCCCCTTTGGGTTAAAATCTCTAAGCCTGGTCTGCTTAGATCTTTCTACCTTAGAACAGGGTAAACACAGTCCCTTTCTCCTGCTAAAAACCCTTTAATGACTCTCCCACCACGTAGTGTACTGATTCTCCTCACCCACTAGGTAGGTCCACATCCTGAGTGAGACCCCACCGTTGCCCTTCTCTGCCCCAGAGGAGGCTGCACCCCCAGGCTGGTTGCAGGCCTCTGAGGCGCCATCCCCGTGCCCGTCTCTGTCCTCCTCAGGTTGATCCTCCAACTCCCCAGACCTCCCCATCGCAGTCAGCGCTCCCCCTGATTCTTTCCTTATTCGGGAGGTGATGGGGCCTGCCTTGTGACATCCAGTGTTCTTATGACCCCAGCTCCATGCCCCTGGGAAATGCTTGTCTGGGAGGCGGTGTCTTTCTCTACCCCTCCCTGTGAATATGTGGTTAAAGTGGGTCGTGAGAATCAGAGAGCAACATGTAATGATCCCACACAGCAGAGAGAAATTTGGACCCCACTTCAGATGCAATTAATTAATAGAAATTTGTTAAGAATTTAATACACCTGCAGGTGCACCTACAGGGGGCTGTTGTGGTGGGCCAACAAGCATCCACAAGTGGCATATTCAAAGGGTTTATATACTGCAAATTTTGCTGAAGCAAGTACAGCTCAGCGACTCAGAGGTCACAAGGTAAAGGTACATGCGTTAGCTCACAACAACTCAGCACAACTCAAGGGTGACAAGGCAGGGGTACATACATTAGTTCATGAAGGGTACACAACTCAGGATGGGAGTACATGCTGATTTAGCTCATATAAGCAAATCACATTAAGTGTTACAAAATTTAAAACCAGGGTACATATTATCTCTTGGGTCATAAGGTACGTTAACTCATATATCACAAGATAGGGGTCACATAGTTCATGGGGCACAAACTGGGGGTACATAATTCAACACAAATTGAGAAAGTTTCCAAGGAACTGGGGACTTTCCATCAAGGGCTCAACTGCTCCCTGCATACTTCCTTAATTTCAGACTGCTTCTCAGACTAGAGGCTCAGCAGAAATTTCCTTTTCAAGGGTAGGAGGCTTGTTCCCCCCCCACACACACACACACTGATCTCAGTGGGGTATCGAGGGGGTCTGGTCATCACAAATTGAGAAACCGAAAACGCAGAAAGAGAACAATGAGGAAGGCCAGGTGTGGTGGTGTAATCCTAGCACTCTGGGAGGCTGAGGTGGGTGGATTCCAAGACAGCCTGAGCAAGAGCGAGTCCGTCTCCTAAAAAAAAAAAGAAAAAATAGCCGGACAGTGTGGTGAGCACCTGTAGTCCCAGCTAGTTGGGGGGCTGAGGCAAGAGGACTGCTGGAGAGCCAGGCACGGTGGCTCAC